GTATAAGAGACAGGGGCAGGGCGGTGGGGGAGGGGAGGGAAAGCGCGGGAGATTGCAAGGCGCCTACTCCAGGGGTGCCGCCGTCTCCCCCTCCTGCTCGGCGATGTCGTGCTGCTGCTCCGCCCCCCCGAGGGCGGCGGGGTGGGTGTCTGTGGGGCCCAACAGCCGGCTCCCTGCGGGGGACAGCCTGTGCCTTCCCTCACAGGGCGAGAAGAGGCTCCCCGGGCGTGTGGCTCTCATCTCTGCGTTCGCGTGGCAGGTGCGCGTACGGGTCTAAGGCATGCGGGTATAGGATCCAACGCATTAGCCTGCTTCGGGTACGTTTACGTGGGTCCTCGTTTAGCTCTGCTTCAAACGAGCCCAGCGGCCCGGTACCCCCGGTCAAAGCCGCGGCACTTCTCAAGTAGTACGCTACACTCCCGAATCCCAAGTATGTGATTGAATTAAAGGTAATTAGTGTTCCCTGTGCTCACATGGAATGTGAAGTTCGTTAGGTGAGTGGCTTTGAACATTGTCCCGCTCGCTGGCGGAGGGCTTTCGGCCTCGAGGTGCACTAAGGCAGTGTTTGGGGTTCAGCCGTGAGGCAGCGGCTGGCCGAATCCCGTACAGTCTGGGTACACGTAGAGGGAGCAGCCAGAAAGCTCTTGGGAAAAAGATTGAAACATTTATTGACAGTTAAGAAAGAATTGCGGTCAGAGCTGGAGAATTACTTTAAGCTGACCAAGAGCTCAGAAGGTCTACAAGTGAAGAAGAATTACGAAAGCAAGTGTGCTTGCTAATGTTCTCTTCTGTAAATGTTCTCAAACCCCAACTATGTCGATCAGGTGTTTACAGCTTGTCACAGGTTCTGGAGGGCCTTTTGGATGTGGTCTTGAAATAATCATGATTTTACTGCTTTTCTATCACCTGTGATTTGTATGAATTTTAGTAACATTGCTGTCAGCTTTCCATGTGTAAACGAATAAATGTATTTGTTTTTATCTTAATGTGTCTTAATGGTTATTTCACCATAAATCTGCAGTAGGATTGTTAGATAAAGAATGCTGTATCTGACAGGGACTGGGGAGAGAATGTAAATGGCAGGATATGGA